GGTACTCCAATGCATACAGGGGTTAGGTTAGATTTCTTGTCATCAATTTGAACATATTGGAAGCGATTTGTTAGATAACTTGTTATCCAGTATAAAAAGCCAGGGGAGAAATGTAGGCCGTGTAATTTTTTTAGAACGGTCTTAAAGTTTATGGTATCGAATGCTTTCGAGAAGTCTGCTAAATGCATAAAAGCATTCCTTTGGAAAACATTGTCCTGGACGAGCTTGATTTGATGCTAAGAATTACAGGTATTGTATGACCCCCCTTTGGTTCTTAACATTGATATTACATATCAGTCTGCCAGCTCTGGTGTCGAGTTGTGTCGGTCATGTGTGCCGCCCGCCCATCAACTTGCTTGACTACTGCAAAGTCTTGCTTGACTACTTTATTTTAATTGTAATTGTTGTTCACAGTTCGTTTATCATCATGTTATTACTCAAATTACTGTACACTGTATCTCATTTTGTCTAATAATTTTTTTGCTTTATCATGAAAAATAGCACCCCCCCTGCACCCCCCTCTGGCCAGGGCTAGAGGGGTTCCCCCCAGTAAATCCATCCCTGTAACATATATAAATCCATCCCTGTAACATATATTAACTAATATACTTATAGCAATTTGAATTAGACAGCAACTTTGTTTCATTTATATTGCCAGATAAACTTATTGATAATTTGGTGAAAGAAGCCTTAGATAGAGATCTTGCTGCAAATCTAGAAAAGGCAACCAATACATCTTCAAAACCTGATCAAGGCCATCTGCAGTTGTGGAGTTTCATTTTCAGTTTGGGAAAAGCGGGATGCTGATGGGAAGCAAGTGGAGTACATGAATTTACCAGTCTTATGGGAACAGACAGAAAGATTCTGTTGGAAAACCTACCAGCTAAGTTAGATGGTGTCATTGACCCTTCGACAATTGCTACAGTAATTAGGATTTGGAAGGTACAGTATACTGTAATATAAAGTACTTTTCGTATACAATATTTTTACAACTGATTATTTTGCTAGTTTAAGGCCTAATATTACTATTTGCCGCCAGTACTATCGCTAAACAAGCAATACACACTGAGCCAATTGACCATATACACAACATGCACAGAAGTACTAAGTCAGTGGTCTTAACATATAATTAATATTATAAACACTCAAGTTGCATATCTATGCAGGAATGTATTGAGCATACACATTGTGATTACTGAGAATATTAGATTAATTATTGCTTTATTCTACCACATTTTGACTGGATTTCAACCATATCTATAAAGAATATATCCAGAAACAAGATCCGACAGACACAGATATTGATATATATATTTCTATGGTACAAAGACTCCTAAATGTTCATGAAAAACATATATACAGTTCTGCCCATGCTACAAGATGTACATAACAACATATTTTCTTATTTCCATTACAGGCTACAGCTTGGGTGACACTGTTTCTGTCACTGGGAGATAAGCGCCAGGGCTATGCCAAACAGATATTGCACCATATATCCATGCCATGGTGTATCATGTACCTCGCTCCAGGAGGATGCACAAAGGAATACGAAATTTTCCGGACAAGGTAAAAAAATGAGAACTAGAAGTAAGAATGGGGCAAAGTAATCAAATGAATATACTCTGTTCCTATGAAACCGCTCCTACTAATTATTGGCCAAAGGCCTTCGCTCAAAACCTTGAATACAATGCTTTATTTGAATAGGCTATAACAAATGCACCAAAGTTTGCTTTAGAGAACTATGACTGACCTGCTTTCATGCAAAAAGGATATTACATGTATCCAATTATTATTTTACATTAGATGTTGAAAAACTTAATGATGTTTGCAGAAGAATTCATTCGGAAAAGTCCAACAAGTGGGATGCTACTAAAGATGTGTTATTGGTTGAAGAAAGGCTTCAACATTTAATATTGGGGCGAAACTACCAGCAGAATAATATGATGATTCCTGCTCTAATTATTCCTGTTCTAATGATAATCAGCCAATAAAATATAATCAGTCCATAAATTATAATGGTAATCAATCATCAGATACTTCTCAAAAATGTTCTCCAATACTTGTTGATAATGTCATCTCGACTGTAAAAGCCTTAAAAACATGTAAAGCAACAGGTTTGGATCAAATTCCGGCTAAAGTTTTAAAATTATCTACCGACATAGTTGCACCTTCGTTAACATTCATCTTTAATCTGTCGCTTACAACAGGCATATATGTTGATGAATGGAAACAAGCACGCGTAACACCAATTTATAAATCTGGAGCCGGTTGTATCAAAGGCGTTTAACTTAAACGGTGTTTAGCCGCTATCCAGCGTATAAATTTCTTATCCAGCGGATAGTTAAACGGCCGATAAAATTGCGTTGTATGAAGCCCGCTTAGTACCGCGTTTAACTATCCGTAGGATAACCTTTAATTTAACTGGAGAAAACCTGATTTTCTTGAAATTTCTTACCTCTACGTCAGCTGTTGCTAGGCCTTTGTAAACTTTTGAAGCTTTATCTAACTTGTGAATTCCACTAAGCTTTTGCAATAAGGTTTGTTGTTGTTTTTATTTGGAGTTTGCTCGTCCATTCGTTGCTGCAAATCTATATCAAACTTTTCATTTTCACATTGTGCTGAGTTTCTCATTCACTTAAATTCCCTTACGGATATTTCTTTAAAGATTTTTGGCTTCTTTATGCGAAGAGTCGAAGGCAATAGCAAAAACTGTGAGTTGTATTTGGCTTTTGTCAGTTGATTCAGTTTTATATACTGTTTGAAATTTGTTCCTCGACCTTGCACTTTTGTACAAAACAATTTTAAGAACATTTTGAACCACGTTTTGATTGGCTGATCAAAGCGATTAACGCGAGCGAACAATTTTTTTCGACTTTCGGCGTCTTGTTGTCTATTTTGTATACTTGTTGGCTTTCCAAAGTCATTGTTTGTTTTACAATAGCTAAAATTGCGAGTCTTACTGCTTGTTTTCAAACTATATAATAGAAGAAAAGAAGAAGAAAAAGCCAGAGTATATATACTTAACATCTAAACATGACACTGGTGTGCGTAAATATAGCAAAGCCACGGAATTACAAGTGAGCAAGTGACCTCAGTGTACCTCAAGACCAAGCCAGTTAAAAGTGAGTTTTTTATGTTTATTGGATTTAAAAAGATAACTCCTCCACATGATTGTGCATTTTTATAACTATCCCATGCTTTTTCATCCGAAATAATCATTGTTTTATCTTCAAACTCCGAGTTTATCCGCCGTATAGCGATTTAACGGTCTCAACAGACCGTATAAGTTTACACGGTGGATAGGCAAAATTTAACCGGTGGATAGCCCTAAACGGGCTTGATACAACGCGATTTCTCGAGCGTTTAAATTTTATCCGGCGGATAGCGAGTTAAACGGTGGTTAGCGAGTTAAACGCCTTTGATACAACCGGCCCCTGGAGATAAAAGGCTTTGCGAGAGCTATCGACCAATTTCTGTATTACCGATAGTGAGCAAAGCCTTTGAGAAGGAAGTTTTCCGTCAAGTTTATACATACTTGTCTGTGAACTCTCTATTCTCAAAATTTCAACATGGTTTTCGACCAAAACATTCAACTTTTACTGCCCTTATCCAAATGTGTGATGAGTGGTTAGAAAACATGGACAATGGAAAAATAAATGGTGTTGTGTTTCCAGACATTAAAAAGGCATTCCATTCTATCAATCATCGTGTTTTATTGAATAAAATGAATCAACAATTTGAAATCTTTGGCTTGGAACTAAAATGGTTCGAATCATATTTAATGAATAGAGTACAGCAATGCAGTATTAATGGAAAATTGTCTGACAAAAAAAGGATTAACTGTGAAGTGCCTCAGGGTTCTATACTGGGGCCCCTGTTATTTTTATTATATATTAATGACCTGTCTGAGTGTCTGATATCAAATGCTCCTTGCATGTATGCGGACGACACTCAAATATTTTCATCGTCTTATGATGCAAATGAACTTGTACTTGGACCTTGCTCATGTGTTTGAATGGATGAAAGACAGTCTTAATAAATTAGGTGTATATAAGATATATATCTAGTGTATATAAGATATCTATGGGAGGGACCCCTAAGAAAGAAAAAGTAAAATAATCAATTTTCACTTTTATACTCTCCCTCAGTAGCTCTTCTATTTCAGCTAGCATTGAGCTCAAGAAACAGGTAAAAAATTTCATTCGAAATCCTGATTCATTTGCATATTATTTTATAGTTATTTGCATTCGCCATATTGGATAGCTTGTGTTGCAGTAACAATACTAAACTGTAATTTAACTCACTTCGCTTGATATTTTCAGCCCAACATGTAGAGAAAGTGACATATACTATAACAGCCCCAGTCATGGAGGAAAATGTAATTCTGAGAGACAGGACCTTAATTGCTAAATGTTATTGCTAAACTTTAGTTAAGTTAATATGATTAAAACACAATTAAGCTGCAAATCTCTTTTCTTATACTTATACATTTACAATTACAGGTAGATTGACTTAAGTTGCCAAGAGTGCTATACACTGTCTCCAGTGAGAAAGTTATGAATTGTTGTGATTGGCAGTGTGATGTAGGCTACACATTGTTTTAAGTTAATATAAATGACTATTGTAAGTACGTTATCGATTTTAACCTGACTATTTGTTGGATCAATAATGCAGGCAGCTTACTGTATATGAAGTACAAAAGATTATAAAATAACATGTACATAACGCGTGCTCTGATTGGTCGAAACCCGTGATTGGATCAGGCCATCCAAACACGGAAATTTAAAGTGCCTTCGCGTGAATTTCAAACATCTCTGACTCTGAAGACAATTTTTTGCCAAAATTGATTTGGAGGGCATTTGTGCAACCGCAGAAAAGAGTGAAACGCGTAAAAGGTTCGCTGAAGTAACCCAGGAGAATATTGACGAGCTGTTAAACGATGTACAGTAAAAAAATACGAATTTCTATTTGCTTACAATTTCTAATTTCTATTTGCTTTAATGGTCGAACAGCGAAACATCCAACAAGAATTGCACGTAATGGACGACAAAACTCTTGATAAATGTCTTTGTCAATTTTACGCCGAAGTAAAAAAACAGGAAGTTGAAGACTACAGTAAATCAACTTTAAAACACGGACTAGAGCGATATCTGAACTGTCCACCGTACAACAGAGGTTTCAGCATGTCGTCCAACCCAGCATTTAAAATGTCAAACTCCGTGCTGAACGCCAAGATAGTATTCTTGAAGAAACAGGGAAAGGCGAATATTGTACACAAGCCCGTCTTGGAAGCTAAAGACCTCACAAAGCTAAAAAACAGCGACATATTGAATGTGTCCACTCACCTTGGTCTTCTTAGAAACGTATGGTTTCATGTGTCTTCGTTTTGGTGTCGCAGTGGACGAGAAAGACAACGAAAGCTGACGAAGGACAGCTTTGTTTTTACCGAAGATGCAAACGGGGGAGCATTTGTTACTATGGCTCACAGTGAAGGCTCAGAAAATCATCCTGGCGGTATTCACGATAACGAAAGCTTTGAAAATTTGGGAAGGATGTACAAGACCGATGCAGAAAACGACGGCGTCTCAGCTCTGCAGCTATTCATTACCAAATTGCATCCTTCCTGCGAAGCATTCTTTCAATATCCCAAGCGAAAGTGGAGTCCGGCTGACAGTGCTTGGTACGAGAACAAACCTCTTGGTGTAAACACGCTTGGTAATATGATGAAAACTATCAGCGAAGCAGCATCTCTGTCGACAGTTTACACTAACCACTCCGTGAGAGAGACGTCTATAATAATGTGGTCCAACGCCGGCTTAACAAATCGCCATATAATGGCAATTTCAGAGCATCGCAGCGAACAGTCTCTTGTCCACTACAATCAGCGACCATCGTCAGATCAGTTGAAGCGTTCAAGCGAAGTTATTTCCGGAGCTCTTGGCGACAATACGGGGCATAATAAACCACTTAGGAAGAAACCTGCAGTCGGAATAGTCTCACAAACCACCGTGACAAAAGCGACAACAATTGCTTCTTCTGACCTTGGTTCTTCGTCACCTAGCGTCTCGTTGCAAGGATTGCCTGATTTCGGCGGATGTTTATCAACTGCTTAATCGGCAGTGTAAACGTGAACTTTAATCAACATTTGTAATTATGTTTAACTTTTAAACACAAAAACTTTGTTCTAAATCTACGTTGTAGTGTTTCATGGTTGATTGACCTGATTGTTTACAAAATTATATATTAATAGCTTCGTTGAAGGTCGTTCGCGAACTTGTGAGAATTTAGCATTGCAACTTTCGAGAGAAAAAACAATTACTTTATGGTTTCCGTATTTGGATGGCCTGATCCAAACACTTGGGAATGTTGCTCGAGTTAAGAAAAGCGCGCAAAATCACTCGCGTTCGGCTCGTAATTTTGCGCGCATTTCTTAACTCTCGCAACATTCCCGCGTCTTTGGATCAGGCCGTCCAAACACGAAAACCATAGGGTAATTGTATAACACACAGAGGAGAAAACCTCTAGTCTTATTAATCATATAGTCACCAATACACCAGAGAAAATTTCTGACTCTGGTGTTATCCATACTGGATTAAGTGACCATAGTTTGGTATTTGCAATAAGGAAAATTTCTGTTGTTAAAAAACAAGAGAAGAAAGTTGAGATAAGAAATATGAAAAAATTTGATCATCAAAAATTTGTTGAGGATCTGAGGCAACAACCCTGGGAAAATGTATACTTCTTCGCTGAAGATCCTAACGCTATGTGGGAAATTTGGAAGAAATTATTCGTAGAGGTCTTGGATAACCATGCACCACTTCAACATAAAAAGATTAGAACAAAAAAAGTTCCTTGGATTACAAGTGCTATAAAGCAACTTATAATCACAAGGGACAGATTAAAAAGAAAGGCCATTATTACAAACCTAGAAATAGACTGGTTAAATTACAAAACAACGAGAAACAAAGTTAATATTCAGCTAAGAAATGCTAAAAAAAATTATTACTCCACTAAAATTTCTGATCAAAAATGCAACCCTAAAGAGGCTTGGAAAACTATAAACGATATACTAGGTAGGCAAAGCAAACCAACAGTAGTAAATGAGTTAAAATTAGGTGGAAAATAGTTTGACAAATACCAAAGATATTGCGGAGGGCTTTAATAATTATTTTTCAAATATTGGCCCTGATCTAGCTAGCAAAATTGATACTCCAAATTTGAACTTTCAAACATATATTGAAAAGGCTAAATCAGAATTCAGTGCATTCCAGCCAGTCACTGTCAGCAATGTCTACCATCTTTTACATGGTCTTTCTAGCAACAAAGCCACCAGCGTTGATAAGATCTCCAGTAAAATTATTAAAATAGCTGCACTTGCTATTTCAGATTCACTCCCATATATTTTCAATCAAGCTATTATCCTATCCCTTTTCCCTCACGAATGGAAAACGGCTAGAGTAATACCTCTCTATAAAAATGGCCAACGAAACCTGCCAGGAAATTACAGACCAATTTCAGTTCTGCCTGTCATTAGCAAAATTATGGAACGAATTCTGTACGATCAGCTAAACAATTATTTAACCAAATTTGACCTTCTGAGTGACTGTCAATTCGGTTTTCGTAAATTTCACTCTACAGCTACAGCATTACTTGACTGTACAAATGATTGGTATATGAATTTAGACCGCAAAATGTTTAACCTGG